TTCACAAAGATTCGTTCATATGAACGATATGACCACTGAATGAAAATTTATACATCGCACATGATTTGCACAGTACGCGCTGATGGTAAGACTCTGTCGGCTCTTTTTATGAACCGGATCATAATGGTTACAGTCTCGTCTCATCTCAGTTTATTGTTGAATATTTGTAATTTGTAACAGATGTCGATTGTTACAGATTTATGATTGACTATATTATAAAGCCTTGGTAGTTTTTACTTCTCTCTTGTTTCAGTGTTTAATCGATCGCGATCACGAATCACGACCACGTCATCAAGATCATTGTTCACTGCATTACATTTTCAGTCATTCATTATATTCTGTTCAGTCACCAATCAATCGGTGAAAAAACAGCTCTTCAATTTATAAGCACATTAAAAATCTTATAAATAAACAGGGTCATATGAACGATAGGGTCACGAAGAGTGATTGAATCGATCACGGGTCTTCGGGATGATTCGTTCTTTTTGAACGGGTCGTTCATGAACGACACATCGCTATACTCTTCAGTTATGTTTGTGTTTAGTTCGCTTTGAATTTAGAAAACTGTGTAAGTTTTAAAACCTGTCTTTACTTCTAAATAGTTGAATTTGACAACTTTAGTTTTAAAAAATATTGTGGTATATCCACAGAATACTTTTACAGAAGCGAAGGCATGTCAATTTTTGGGGTCCAAAATTTTTTGCGCATGATCAGGGCCGCCATTTTATAACCGACAAAACTGTCATGTCACGAGTGTTGTTTTGATCAGTGTTGCCAGTTTGTTACAATTGTAACAAATCTATTACATTTATGAAGGATTTATTACATTATTACATGTCCAATAAATCTATTACATTTTCACGAGCCTCGAACAATTGATGAACTTGAACCTAACATGAACCTAACCACAGAGTCTTTATTTTATTGGTTTATTATTTTATACAACTAATCCCATCCCAAACATGTTTCTTTGATTAGGTTCATCCCAAACATATTTTCTTGAGCATGCCCAAAGCGCTTAAAAAGTTTCTTATACCATTGGACCTTTCATTGAAGGCAGAATTTCTTTTCCCTTCATTTTCTTAATAAAAAGTTTGTTTCAACCCCAGTATAGAAGCGTTCTGAATTTATCTGCGCATGAGTAGTACGAAGGGTAGAACAGTTAAATCGTACTACAGCTACAGGTACTATTCATGCGCAGATAAATTCAGAACGAGTCTGCTGTTGCAACAAAATTAAAATTATAAGAATGTGGAACAAAAATATCCTCGTGCTGCATTATGACAATAATTGAAAGACTGTCGTTGTTCTTATCAATAAATAAGTTATTAAAAACAAAACATTAATTATCAATATCAATAAAATGAATCTATTTTTTATGTATAGTTCATTTTAGGTTCATTATAATTTCTATTACATTTTCTTGAAATTTATTACAATTTTGGGAGTTCATCTATTACATTCCTTCAGAGTGCTCTGGTAACACTGGTTTTGATGTGTCAGGATCAGTCATTTGTAATTTATGATTTTTTTTTTATCGAATTTAAGTGTCTTTAGTGTTTTCCTTTGTATATTTTTTAACAATTATTGAGTAAATCTGTGTTTAGTGCTTTCCTTTGTCTATTTTATGAACATTGTTCAGTAAACATGTTTTTAATCGAAGACTTTTTGTGGTATGTGCTGAGCTATTTACATATTTTTATTTATTTTATTAAAGCAAAATAATTTTTTAGTGAACTGATGGAATCTAAAAGAAAGAGATGTGTTTATCGCCCATGTCTACCTCGAACGGATTCGAATACTAGTTATTTTTCATTTTCCAAAGTTTCAGAAAGGTATGCAAAATAAATTATGCAATTTAAATGAGGAAAACTGATAGCTCTACCTAACAAATAGTTTAAATTTTGATCCAGATATCCAAATTTACCAACGTTATGTGCTACGTTTGAAAAGTACCTCGTGGAACGGAGTAGAACTAGTAGATTTTTTTTAATCATGTGATAATCGAGCTTATGTGGAATAAAAGCTATAGATTTGTTTGTGTTTCCGGTTTCCATTAGAATAAACTAAAACCTTTCTTTTAAATCAAATTTGATTTCTCTTCTCCTGGTTTTTGTTGCAAGTTTCAAAATAAACTTCATTTTTAGCTGTGGTATTTTTCATCTAACATTTTTTATAAATATTTTTTGCTCTTAATAACCAGATATGTAAATAAGATGAAAAAGAATAAACTGTGACACAAAAGACAACTGTCTGTACATCTCGCAGAAATACATCTACAACTTCAGTTGTTTTTTTCCAGTGAACTGTATAGTTAAAAATAGTTTTCTGCTTTTTTCTTTGTCCATTGTCACATAAATTACATTTACTCCGTAAGCTCTAAAATTTAATTCAGAGGAAATAGATCTTACTTGACTTATCAGTTCTGCATTAAAAGGCCATGGAGCAGATCCCATCGAGAACGGCTTCGAGTAAAATGAGTAAAACGAGGTACTTTTCAAATGCAGCAATGTTAACGGTATGTTATTTATTTGGCTATTTAATCAAAACAGTTATTTTATTATCATTTTTAAATCAAATTATATTTATGTACCTATGACAATGTATTTTGTATTTTTTTAGGTTTCCCATGTTGTTAAGAGCCTGTAGTCGAGAAGACTTGATTAATATAACCAGTGAATAATTACACAAAAGCTACCAGTTGTGTAAAAAACATTTCCAGCCCAGTAGTTTTTCATTTGGATCAACTCGGAAATGTTTATTTGAAAATGTACTTTTGACAATATTCTGACACACACCCACAACAAATGAAATAATTGATCATTCTGAATGAATCTGTACCCTACTAAATCCCACGATGATTTTCTCAGTACACCAAGTATTAAAAATAATATAAAAGTGTTGTTTTTATGTATTTTTTAATTTAAATATTTTTTTTTAGGTCCCAGCAAAATAATGACTAACTTTGAAGATTGAAGAGATATTGTTGTTTCTATTTTGATAATGCATGTGCCAGTCCCAAAAATATCCAACCATTTGCAGATTAGTTAAATCTCAAGCGGAATTTAAAAACAAAAAGCCTCTAGCTAGAAGACATTCCAATGAATACAAGCAGTTTGCGCTTACCTTGTATTTTTTAGGACCTAGGGCATATTCCTTTGTCTAAAATTTTGTGCCTTTTGATGTGTAGGTATTTTTCATATTGATATTTTTATTAATCTGACTTTTGTAATATGTGTTTTTCGTATTTTGGTTTATTAAAATTAATAGTCAGTATGGGTACATGTTTTATTTATAACAACCTTTTTCCTACAGTACTTTTCTTCAAATCTCAATTTAATTCATAGTTCTAATAATTATGCATCTAAAAATGCAAATTTATGTATACAACAAATTCATATGATTTATAAACAAATCCTAAGTCGTCTGGATTTATGAAATACAGCTACGAGGATGTACCATAATATAAGTTTTCCAAAATAAAGTCCTAAGATGTATCATTGATTCACCCTGGCTCTATCTAAACGATTATCTTCATACAGACAAATAAGAAAAAGAGGTTACTGCAAAACATGAGGTTCGAATCCACTCCCACGTTAATGAAGTGCTGCAATGACTGGACAACTCTGCACAGAAGACTCGAAAGAAAGAAAAGCCATTTGAGCTAGTGCTAGTGTAAAACAGTGTAATAAATCGATACGCCAATTATTGGTGATGCTTTTCTACCAACGACTACTAGATTAATTTTGTTTACAAAAATGGAATTGTAAAAAATCACAGATTTATCCACCGAGTTGTCAAATTATTATAAGAGTATGGCGAAAGTCTTAATACAAGGATTGTTTATGGTATTATTGACATTATGATAAGGTTCTAAAACACATAAAAGGCTTTCAAAATGACAGTTCGGAAGTATTTGCATTTTTAATGCCAGTTATTATCAGTTTAATCTATTTTTCTAAGTACACAATTAATTAATACATCAATAATTTGTAATAGAATCCCTCTGTTAAAGAGTTAATGTTATCAAAAAAAACTGATGAATTAAGTACAACGAGCATTCGGTCTGGTTCCTCAAGTAAAAACTCTTTTTTAATATAGCGATCAGTAAAATTTACTTCAAAATAAATTATTGTGAAGCCTTATTTTTTCTAATTATATCACTAACCTTCAATTCAGAGAAGAAATAGTGGATGTTGCTAAATAAGTTTGTTACATATATTTAAATCCTTTTCTCAGTGTATTATCCGAATTTATAAGAATCTTGGTAATTTTTACCAGTGTAACAACCGGCAAGAACGTCAACTGTCAGCGAGTGTCACTTTAAATTTTGGCCACCCAGACATCAAACGTGCCGACGCAAGCCTTCATTTCTGTAATAGTGGTTATTCTGTGGTATATCTTGAGGTGGGGGTATAACTTATTATTTTATTTGAAAAAATACCAAAAAAGTTGGTAAGTTTTGAGGATGTGGGTAGATTTAAAATTTAGGTATTTTCGAGTTTAATAAGAAATATTTTACCTTTTTCTACATTAGATCCCTATTTAACCCTCTAGTTTATAAAAATATACATAAATATGGTGGTTTATCTTGAGGTGGGGGTATAAGTTATTATTTAGTCGAATAAAATATCAAAAAAGTTGATAAGTTTTGAGGATGTCGATGGATTTAAAATTTAGGTATTTTCGAGTTGAATAAGAAATATTTTACCTTTTTCTACTTTAGATCCATATTTGACGCTCTAGTTTTTAAAAATATTCTTAAATATGGTGGTATATCTTGAGGTGGGAGTATAAGTAGTCGAATAAAATATCAAAAAAGTTGTTACGTTTTGAGGATGTCGATAGATTTCTAATATGTTTAATCTCCAGGCTGATGAGAAATTGCCTTCTTCTACTCTAGTGTTTAAAGATATTCTTACATCTAGTGACATGCCGTGAGGCAAGGGTATAAACCACATAAAAATAGTATAATATACAGTAGATAATTATTAGATTAGCTAGTATAGATGAGTCTTATTATATTGTCAAAATGTGTGTCGAAAGATGGTTTCCAACATCGTTTAAATAAACTTGTAGACTCGTAAATTAATTTATATGTATGTCGGAACACAATGAGATTGGAAATGTTTCGAAACAAACTTATCGGTTTTTGTAAACATCGGATGATTTACTAATATAATACTTATTTTACACATGTCAAAGCAAATAGTTTGGTGATTTCTTGATTAGTTTTAATGGGAAGTGGGGATCTCAGAAGTAGAAATAAGGTTGAAAAAGAAAATAATCTTAGTATGCAATGTGTGCTTGAAGTTTTTGGTAAGTTAAGTGTTGTTGCTTGATTAATAAGGTACCTACATAGTATTGTAGTAAAGTTTATTTATTAATTAAACGAGTATCTGTCCGTCTAAGCTGGAATACCACTTAGTGATAAACGTTGTGTGAGCTTTGAATATGTGAGTTTAGATAACGCCACAAATTATTAAACTTTATTTTACTTTCTAATAGAATTTGTAAAAATAAAATGCAAGTAAAATGAGTTAAATTATGGACATATTTGTAAAATAATGGATTGATTATAGTGTTACATATTAGTATATGCTACAAATTTGAGAATTTTTGTTGTTTAGTGTTTAATGATATATGTATACTCTATATGTAGGTATAATTTTCCATTATTTTTGAATGAAGAACCTAACCTATCGTATTAACTACCAAAATCTGAATAATCAATTTGAAAAAATATTGCTCATCCTTCAGACTGTTGGTAGGATTATGCATTTAATGTTTAGTACGTTTGTAATTAATGAATTTTTCCTTCTTTTTAGATTAGTCAGTACCATTATAAATCTTGAAAATTTAAAAGACAAATACGGCTGTACAGCTATAATAATAAATTGTATCAGATTGTGTCAACTTCGTGGAGAGCTATTGTCTGGTAAGTATTTGGTAAAATTTTTTGGAGACTTTTTTAAAATTGCGCTAATTTAATAAAATAACTTAATTTGAGAAATTTTTTATTAAGTGATTTATATCCCATTTGAATTCTGACGGTCTTAAAGGCTATTAATTACTTGATGAAATACCTACTATGATTACTGACCACCCTGCTACTTACCTCTGGCCTCCTGAGTAGTGCTTTGAATTCGGAGTGGGGTGATAAGCTATAAATCACTTGGTAACAGGACTCGTTTCAGTTAAAGTTATATAGAGAAGGGGCGAGGCTTCTGTGTAGTTATATAATTTTATTTTCTTTTTAGGTCAAGCGTTTTCTGCCCGAAACAAATCCGAGCAAATCTACATATATTTGGAACACACCAAGCTTATAATTCAGTACCATATTGGAGGTCTACTACATAAGTCGTACTGTACGCTCTCCAAAGGCTTAAGATGTATTGGTTGAAAGTTTTATGTGAAAAAATCCGTGCTATATTAAGTATTCTATCATTAACAATGGATACAAATGAGACAGAAACTGGTCTTCGTGAATGTAATAAAGCTATTCGCCGAATCAACCATAATTTAAAAATTGCTGGACCGTGGGGGAAAAACAACGATTATGTGCTGCTTTAGCTAATATTAAGAGCTATCGATCGCAAATAAAGAATTTGCGAAAAAAAGGAAAAGGTCTAAAGGAAACTGCAAAAAACCGTGTACTCTGGCAAGATTCTTTATCGACTTTCAATAGTCGCATTCATATTGGAGTAATTACAAATCTGCAACACAAAGATCCGAAGACTTTTTTACAAGATTGCAAATCTATTTTTGAACGAAAAATCCATAATACGTTACAAACAAAAGATGCCATTAAAGTCAATGTTGTTTTTTGTGGTGAATTTGTTTTATCGAAGGCTGATAGAGTTCAAACTGAATTTAAGTACTTCACAACTTCTAATTCACCGATATATAAAGACAGTAACATCGGTCAATGGTTTGATAAAAATGTTGTTCATCCCATTTTAACTGAACTTGAGGAATTTCAAGAACGTGATAGTGGATGGGCTTTAAAACAAGTTGTGAACTTGGGTGTAAATATAAACAAGTTTACCCCTCAACTGGGATCATCGTATATTGATTTACCTACACAAATTAAACGAAAAAAAGCATGTATTAATATCAGAAATGATGATCAAGCTTGCTTCGCTTGGTCTGTTATGGCTGCTTTATATCCAGTAATCAAAGACTCACAGCGTATATCTATGTATCCGCACTACTCAACTGTTCTTAAATTAAAAGGTATTCAATTTCCAATGAGTATGAAACAATTTCCAAATTTCGAGAAACAAAACAATATTTCGATAAATGTGTACATCTTACAAAAACAGAAAAAATCATTTATTACTCTTCCTACATACCTTACTAAAAATAAAGAAGATCGGCATGTGGACCTTTTGCTTATTCAGGATAAGTACTATGAGGAGGGAGAGAATGTAAAATATCACTTTGCTTGGATTAAAAGCCTTTCGAGACTACTTTCCAAGCAATTGAGTAATGAAGGGCATGCTAAATACTTTTGCGATCGCTGTCTTCATTATTTCCGTTCTGAGGCAAAATTAAACATGCATATAGAAGATTGTAAAAAATTAAATCATGGTGCTATTAAAATGCCCGAAGGTGATAAATCTATAGTAGAGTTTAAAAATTTTAAAAATAAAGAAAAAGTCCCTTTCATCGTATACGCTGATTTAGAAAGTGTATTGAATCCTATGGAAAATAAAAATATTTATCAGCAACATGTTCCAGCTGCTGTGGGCTACTACCTCAAATGTTCCTATGATGACACTATTTCTTTTTATCGATCATACAGAGGTTACGATTGTATGCAGTGGTTCACTGATGAACTGAAAAAACTAGCCGAAGATTTGGAAACTCTCTTTTGGTGCCCTTTCGACATAGATATCTCGGCACAGCAGGACTATAATTTTCAAAAATCTACACATTGTCATATATTATGTGACCAACCGTTTGAGCCTGACGATAAAAAAGTTAGAGATCATTTTCATCTCCTCCCTTACAACAACTATAGAGGTCCGTCCCATGAGGGATGTAACATAAATTATCAGGATAGTCATGTAGTTCCTGTAGTTTTTCACAATTTGTTCGGGTATGATGCCCACTTTGTAATAATTGACATAGCTACTAGACTGCCAGGTCGAGTTGATTTACTTCCTATCACCAAAGAGAAGTATATTTCGTTTACCAAACATATCGATGATTCTCCCATTCAGTTTCGATTTATTGATAGTTTTCGTTTCATGAATTCTCGTTTGAGTACATTAGCATCATATCTAGAAAATTTTCCCAATTTAAGATCTCAGTTTGATAAATTAACTGAAGATCATTACAAATTATTAACAAAGAAAGGAATTATGCCATATGACTACTTTGATTCATTTGAACGATTTAATGAAGCATGTTTACCTCCAATTGATGCATTTTATAATACATTAGAAAACAAGCCATGTTCACGTAGAATGTACCTTCGTGCGCAGGATATTTGGAGCAAGTTTTTATGTCGTAACCTTGGTGATTACGTAGACTTATACATGAAAACGGATATTTTGCTTTTAGCTGACGTTTTTGAGCAATTTAGATCAAGTTCTCATAAAAGTTATGGTTTAGATCCAGCACATTATTATACCCTACCTGGATACACTTGGGATGCTATGTTAAGACAAACTGGTCAAAAACTGGAACTGCTAACTGATCAAGATATGTTTCTCTTTATTGAAAAGGGAATACGAGGCGGTTTAAGTCAGGTCTGCTCCAAAAGAAGAGCTCACGCGAACAATAAATATATCCCTAATTATGACTCTACAAAACCATCTAAATATTTGATGTACTATGATGTTAATAACCAGTATGGATGGGCGATGTCGCAATATCTACCTTATGGAGGGTTCAAATGGGTGGATACTAATATTGATATTATGTCTATACATGACCATTCCCCTGAAGGATATATTTTAGAAGTTGACTTAGAATATCCGAAAAAACTTCACAACGTTCATCAAGATTTACCCTTTTTACCCGAACACCTTAATCCTGCAACTTTGAGACCTTGTACAAATAAATCTAAATTAATGGCAACATTACAAAACAAAGAAAAATATGTGATCCACTATAGAAATTTAAAACAGGCGATAAAATATGGATTAAAGGTAACAAAAATTCATAGTTTTAAAATTTAACCAGTCCCCTTGGTTAAAGACTTATATAGATTTTAATACTAAACTTAGAAAAAATTCGAAAAATGAATTTGAGAAGAACTTATATAAACTTATGAACAACGCCATCTTTGGAAAAAGTATTGAAAGTGTGAGGAAGTATCTTAATGTGAAGTTAATTCAGCAATGGCAAGGGCGTTATGGTGCTGAAGCAATGATATCAAAACCTGAATTTAAATCATGTACAATATTCAATGAAAATTTAGTAGCCATAGAATTGCACAAACTAGAGATATTTTTAAACAAACCTATTTATATTGGAATGAGCATTTTGGATTTGGCTAAGACAACTCTTTATGACTTCCATTATGGCTATATGAAAAGTGAATTTGGAAATAATTGTTCCATTTTATACACGGATACGGACAGTCTATTCTACGAAATTCGAGATCATGATCCATATGAAATTATAAAACGTGATTGCATGCAATATTTTGATACCTCAGACTATTCACTAAACAACGTTTACGGAATTCCTCAAGTTAATAAAAAAGTACTAGGTATGATGAAAGATGAGAACAATGGTATACCAATGACTGATTTTATTGGTCTTTGTTCAAAATTATATACTGTAAAAATTGTTAAAACTGAAGATGCTATTGTAAGGGAGACAGCTAGTTCGTCTTAAAACAGAAGAAGAATATGACTCTGATGAAATTGGAGATATTTTGTTAAATGTTGAATTAATTAAGAAAGCAAAGGGCGTTAAAAAATCTATAGTTAATACCGTAATAACTTTTGAAGATTATGTAAACTGTTTGGAGACATTTACAAATAAGATTGTTTCGCAGAATTTAATTCGTTCAGATAAACATCAAGTTTATTCAATGACTCAGCAGAAAATCGCCCTTAGCCCCTACGATGATAAACGCTACTTGGTACCTGAATCTTACAATACCTTACCATGGGGCCACTACAGCTTAGCAGACGTTCCAACTGGATTTAATTAAATACTTTGTAATAACATGTTATTATGAAAAATTAAACTGCTTAATTATGTATGAGAAAAATAAATGATTTAAAACAAATATGTTGTTTTTATATTCTAACATTATAAAAATAAAGTAGAAAGAAAGGGATATTTTTCTAGTGCTCTCCTGATATTTTAAATATAAATAAAAATTTAATAAGGGGTAAATTGTTCTAGTACGCCACTGGAATTTTGGTATCAAAAATTACCACGTTGGACCTTAGATTTTCTTATGGAGATTTACATGTAAAAATGGTCAATTTTGCGCTAGAATCGGTGTTGCTATACTACTCACATTTTTATCTTATTTCTTTTTAGTCAATAATCACGTTTAAAATGTGTCAATTTATAGATGGGCACCTTGTATTTCTAAGATTATATAAATTCCTCCCTTAAAATATTGGGAAGTGGCAGTAAATAATTGAGGATTTTATTATAAATTGATTTAATACTGCCTATCGTTTTATTAAAAAATATTTTACTGGGAGTGTTTTTTCAACTTTTTTAATTCTTCGAGTGTCTAAATTCAGATTGTTTAAATTCGTTGGAATAAAAAATATCTTTAGGTATTTATTTTAAATACATTAGACATTATTCTCTTTTACAGCACATAATTTTTACCTATCTGTTTAAGATTTTTATGCTACCATAAGTTATGTATATTATATAAATTTAATTAAATACGGTATAATATAGGAAATAGGAATTTCAAAAACCACATAGAAGTTATATGACATCTTTAATTATTTCTTTTAAATAAGCATCGTAATAAAAAAAAATATTTTAGGATACATTTTGTTCTTTGAAAACTCATCTCTGCAAATTTCTTCAACATGGATAGGGCCTAAAGGAGACCAGACAATAAAATAACAATATTCTTTGCCTGAAAGATGTAGCTGCCCTTGTATTTGGTAGTAATACGGATTAGTGTTTTTTAAATACAACAACCCCTCCTCATCATAGGCAAGAAATTTAATTTTCTTTACAGCTAGTCCTTGTTCTATTGAGCAGCTTTTCAGGACAAAGGGATATTTCACTTCAATAGTAAAATTGTTGTCTTCTTCAATTAAACCATCTGGACTAGCAGCTAGGAAATATTCTTCTTCAGTTCCAATGAATAAGCCACAAGTTATAACAGTTAAACCTGTCAAGTCCTCAAATGCACGAATTGCTGTGGCTTCATTGTCCTGACCATATCGTGTAGCTCTATTACCAATAAATCTTGTTCTGTACATTCTCTTTGCTACTCTAAGACGATCCGTCGTTTCTCGCAATCTACAAATCATTCTAAAATTAGATGCAGTCAGCCTATACTGTCGTTCCTGATGCCATAACGGATTTAAATTTTGCCTTCTTGTGATTATTTCTAAATTAATTTTATCTGACAAGATATTCTGGAGCTGGAGCTTTTCTTTTCGAGTATTCTGTTCCTCTTCATTTACGACATCTTCCACTGTCCCATAATCTTTATCAGCAATTGAAATAATTAATTTTGGTTTATATCCCCGTTTACAGTTATACCTTTGAGTTCTATTTCGCTTGAGTTTTCTCCTTGTTAAAAAATTTTGTATATAATCTACAGTAGCTTCTCCGAACGCATTTACTATTTGAATTTACTTTCGAATTATAGAAAATAGCTGCCAACTGACACCTCGCTAAATAGGATCCTTTGAACGAAATGTTAATCTGAAAACAAAAAACTAAATATAACTACAATGGCGACATTATTTATAAAAATTCGGAGTAAAATGTGTAATCTGTTATTTTCAAAAAGATCACAACAAACTTCCCGGATATGCAAAAATATGTTTTTTTTTCTTTATAGAAGAATTTTCGTAAATATGTAGGGAGTTATAATATATTAAAAAAAAACATTACCTATAATTATTTAAAAATACAAAGAATGAAAAGTCTCTAAATTAGAAGGTATTTGTTAAATTGGCAATGTAGTAAAAAAATGTATTTACAACCATATATGTAATGTTGTCATTACTAACGTCATTGAAGGTTGGGAAGTGTCACATTACACACCTCTACTTCCCGCCCTCATTTCATCTATTCTAGATGAATATTTTTTATATTTAAAAAATAACACATTGTTTGACAAATTTTATAATACCTATTTAATGGCAAACAATAAAAAACAACAATGATCTAAAATATAATAAACTACTTATTGATATTTATTATTCGCGAATTTAATATCCGGCTTTATCTGACATTTATTTATATTGGTGACAGTTGTTTACCCCGTAATCACAGTAACAATATATTTACCTACTTGATTATTCTGAGAAAACCGCGCGCTTGGTAATTTGTCGTTAAATGTAATATTTTAGGTATGTTCAGAACAAAACAGAGATTTATTAACTTTGATCGAAATATGGTTGTAAATAAAATAGTATACAAGCCTCGGTAGGAAGTTTCATTCCTGTCTCGAGATCATAGCTAACCTCGACGCTTCGCGTCTCGGTGATCTAACTAATCTCTCGACAGGAATGAAACTCTTCCCACCTCGGTGTGTAATATACTATTAACTTACCCTTTTCCCTCCAACAAATTTGTTAACAAGGCTATTAAACTGCTCCGCTGCATTGTTGTTTTTATTAATTAAAAATGAATATGAATTATTTAAAACTCTTTGCAGACACGCCATAATATCATCATTGAAACCACATCTTATTAATTCTGGCATTATATTTTCTTCCAGGGGGTCAATTCTCGACTTTTATTCCCATGGGAAAATAAAATTTTTTCCATGGGAATTCAGTTTTCGTATTCTCGACATAAGCGGTGGAATATTTTCCAATGAGAAGTATGGGAAAATATTCCCCTGCTTACGAGCATTGGAAATTGTGTTTTCCAATGGGAATTGTACTAGAGTTTGCGCATTAAAGTCGAAAATTTGACGAAAGACCACGCGAAAGTCTAAGACATAACCAAAGATTATTGGATATCTTGGATTTTTAGTGAAATTGTAGTTAAAACATTTTTTTGGCGTATTTATAGATTGATATTATTTTATTTATGTAGGTATATTATTTTTAATTCTCTTTCACTAAGAAACTGTATAAACTGATTTTCCTAAATCATTTAGAAATTGTGGGAGCTGCTAAGGGACTGGCAAATAACACAAATTGAGTGTAGTAAATTTAATAAGACCTTTTCGAAAATTTTATTATTTTCGTTATTGAAAGAATTTCTTAGTTTCTCAAAACTTTCGTTGCTCTTCCATACAAAAGCTACCTTTTCTTTTTTCAACATGAGAAAAGAAAAACTAAGAATAACTCGACAAGTTTTAATTATTATATGTAATCGAATATTTTCACTTATTCTCGATCATGATAGCGATTGCTCGGCACGGCACCTGCTCCAGCGCGGAGTCTCGGCAGGTAATCGGATACCCAAAAACCACAACAAATACAAATATTGCCAACAGTAAATATCTTTAATGTTATTGGTTGTTTCGAAATATTCGTAAACTTAATATCAGACATACGTGAAACTACTATTTCCATAGGAATGTCTATTCCGTCACGTTCGAGAATTGCATAACCTATTACGATGGGAATATAAGTAGTGGAATATTTTCTCATGGGAAAATTTTCCAATGATCTCGAGAATCGAGCCCCTGGTCTTTTGCTCCTTTGCAAAAAGATTCCTCGCAATTGGAATGCTCACCGAATATATGGGCCACAGAATTTTTAATGTCATTCTGAAACAATCGTATTTTTTCAGCCAGAGGTACAGTCATCTGAATACGAAAAGCAGCCGCTTTTTTTTATTGATATTCGAAATCTTAATATGTTTGATTCCAATTTTTGCTCAAATTTAACGGAATTATTAGATGGCTTGATGGACTTGTCCTTGACTTTGACAAATCTGTTAATTTATTACAAAAATTCCTTAGTAACTGGTTTACACATTCAATTTTCTGAATAGGTGTGGCTCCATAAGGTTTGTGTGAAGACAATTTTTTAGTTATGCTACTGTCTCCATCACCAACTAGCGTTGTATACTTTAATCTCAACGATACGTTGGAACCCGTCAAGAATAATCACACTCTCCATAGATGTCGATGACCCTTTCCAATTCTTGGCACACTGATGTTGAGGTGCATCTTCGTTTTTAGTTTCAAATTTTAAGCATATTGTGCAAAACTTATTTTTGACTCCCATAAATAGAATCTTTTTGGTGGATTCTCCAATAATAACAGCTACTCCAGATAATGCGTTGTAATTTGTCTTATATGATCTTTTAGACCATGCTCCATGTGCAATAACTGTTATATATGGCGTGCCAGTCGAATCGACATCTCCTTTTTCTTGAGCTATTGCCGCTTTTTCTTCTTCACCGGCTTTTCTCAACTCCTCTAGAAATACCTTGTCAACTATTTTTTCCATTTTATTATGAACTGTGTTATACTGGACGGGATTTAGAGCTGGCATATTTAAAACAGAAGTAAATTCCTCCAATTGCCATTGTCCATTTCCAATACAAGTGTTACCTGTAAAGAGCAAACAAATATTCATAAGTAATGCAGTTGATATGTAACGTTCCTACATATTATATCCATTCCTATCTAGACTGAGAGATGGTGACAGGTCTTGGTCCTCGATTTCATTTTTGAGGGTTGATAATAATGTAGTCGAAGTGAAAAAAATGATGGTTTTTGACCTATGCAATGCACGTATCCTAATAAAGTTCGTATTTTCACTTGTATTTTTTTTATTTGTTCGTGATATTATATAAAATAATTTTTATAAAAAAGTTTTTAAGCACAAGCTTTTATTAAATGCACTCAAAAGTAGAAAACATTTTTTTGATTTCTGATGGGCGCAAACTAAAATTTAAATTGTAGGTTTAAAATATGAAATTGTTTCAATTTGCGCCCATCGCTTTTATGGTATCAGAAATCAAAAACATTATTTTCTAATTTTGAGTGCATTTAATAAAAGCTTGTGCTTAAAAAGTTTTTTATAAAAATTATTTTTAAATTTTTAGTCACGCACACTTAGGCTAGGGTTCTTAATCTTTGCATTTCGGGTAACGCGTCATTGTTGCAAGGCGTTTTTCCTATTAATTTTGAGCCATATTATTGTATCGTCACCAAAACCATAAATTTATATCAAATTTACGTACGTAGAAGTAAAAAAATAAACTTATACCTATTGATATCGAATACCCTCACACACCATTTTAAACTAAAGTCTATTCAGATTTCATTTACGCCGCG